TTCTTAAACAAAAAAAATTGGGAAATAATTTAATTAAAAGACAAATCCTTTAAAATACAAAAAAATAATCATATAAGAGCAAATATATTTTTCCCAGCTAATGTTATAAAAACAACCTGGTTCTCATGTTTGAACCGCAGAAAGAAAAGCTGCTTTTCATTTCAGCACAAAATGTTTTAAATAATGGTTTTAATTAGTAAGTCTGGACAAACTAGAACATCCTGAACATTTATTTCTCTACAAATTCTAACAACCCTCTCAGGTCTGTTCTTTTCAGACCTGCGCGTTTTTTTTCTCTAAAAGCCGCAGCTTTGCGCCGTCTAACAATCTGCGCACAAATAATCATGCGCTTCTTCAGTCCTTTTTATGATGGTTTTGCTCATAAATAAACATACTTATAACCCAAACCACCTCTTATAGCGCTGAAGAATAAAGCTGAAAAAAATCTCTAGAATCCGACCGACCACAAACTCATCATTTACTCCAAACCCATGTAAATAACTATATCCTCTTATTTATCTCGTAAATTCTAGGTGAAAGTTATGTTCAGATTATGTGAAAAAAAAACCTAAATGAATAAAAACTGTGACGCTCAGGATCCAAACAAGCACAAAAAGAAAGAAAATAATAATAATAATAATAATAACAAAAATAATAAAATAATAATAATAAAAAAACAGCGCGTGGAATCATTGTGCCGCATGCTTTTATAACAAACTTAAATAATTAACAAATGGTCCAGTCTGATTATCTCAAAGCAGACATTTGATTGGGCAGGATATTGTAACATTTAATTGTTGACACAATGTATTATTTATGATGATTCAACAGTTTCTTCCTTCGTTTTGCTTTTTATTTTAAACGACTCGAAGAGGTGGAGGGATTTCTGCTCCGCTTTGGAGCCCCCCCCCGCCCCCCTCCCCGCTCCGGGGAGCCTCTCCGCTGCCAAACATTCCTCTGCAGCAGCAGCAGCAGTGAGCGCGGGCCACTCCTCCTCCTCCTCCTCCTCCTCCCCCCCTGAGCTCGTAGCAACAAACGCGAGAGCCAATGCGCGCTCCTCTGGCGGCGGTGCCTGGCAACAGAAAAAAAAAAAGCAACGTGATGACGTCCCAGATTGCGTATTATGGGATGTGCGGAATTAAACAAACCGAAGAAGAAGAAGAGGAGGAGGAGGGAGGAGGAGGAGTGGTGGTGGGGGGAGGGAGGAAAGAAAAAAAAAAACAAGAGACGAAAAATAATCGTAAAGCAGGAGGCAGAGAGGTCCGCGCGGAGGAGCATGGAGCTGTCTGCTGTCGGGGAGAGCGTTTTCGCCGCGGAGTCCATCATCAAACGGAGGATCAGACGGGTACACGCGCCGCCGCCGGAGCTCTTCTCTCCCTCCTGCTGATCTTCACGCAATCATGCGTGTGTGTGTGTGACTGCGTGTGTTGTCTGTAATAACCCGAACGTGTTTGCGGATGTGTTGTTTTTTCTCCCGCAGGGGCGCTGGGAATATCTGGTGAAATGGAAGGGCTGGTCTCAGAAGTGAGTGTCAGGGGCTGAGGAGGACAGCGCTCCATCCTGGCCGCCTGCTCCAACTGCACCTCCATCACACCACAAGCCTGTCGTCTCCAGATTTCATGCATGTTGTTTTCCTGTATTTTTTTCTCCACGCGCTCTGCGCGTCCCGGTTTATGGCACGGTGTCACGTGCTCCCCTYTTTATTGGATTCCGTTCTGCCCGAGTCGCACCGTGCGTCACTGCTTCTGTCTGTTGCAGCTGCAGAATGCTTCTTCTTCTTCTTCTTTTGCAATCAGTGTGTGACTCTGTGCGCGCGCGTGCTGTGCGCCATTCTGGTGTCAAACACGTCTCCTGTCGGTTTGTTGTGACGCAGATACAGCACCTGGGAGCCGGAGGAAAACATCCTGGACGCGCGCCTCTTCGCCGCCTTCGAGGAGAGGTGAGCTGAAGGTTATCAGCTTGAATTTCTAAGGGGGAGAATATAAAAAAATCACTTCGATTTAGTTGCACTTTATGAATAAGTTCAATCATTTATCACTATGAGTCKTTTTTATGCTTTGTGCTCATCAACAGGGAGCGCGAAAGGGAGCTGTTCGGGCCAAAAAAGAGGGGTCCCAAACCCGAGACGTTTCTCCTGAAGGTGGGTGAATCCCTCTTTAATTTCTGCTTTTTTTCCTCTTCTGATAAACTTTCGGATGACGAGTCCTTTAAGGTCTTAACAGTTCTGAAACCAAGCTGCTGAAATGAAACTTATGTGTCTTGGTTTCATGAGATGTCGCGCGCTCACAGRGAGGCCTTCGTTTCCTTTAAATTATTTAATTTCTCCGTTTCCTTTCCTGTAAAGTCTTACACTGTGAGTATTTTTTCTTCCTCCTCTTCCTCAGGCTAAAGCCAAAGCAAAAGAAAGGACGTATGAGTTCAGGAGAGAGACCCCCAGGGGGATCCAGGTGTCCTATCCCATCCCGGAGCCCGTCACCACGCCGAGGGCCCGKGAAGGATTACGCGCCGTGGTTCCTACACTCTTCCCCCCGAGCGCGATCAACAGGGGGGAAAGTGTCCCCGTGCGAGCACCAGAGCCAGAGAGGAGGCCCAGACCCCCTCCGCCAGAAGCTCATCTGGACCAGGAGTCAGCGCAGTTCCCCAAAAAGCGAGGCCGCAAGCCGAAGTTTCACCGCGAGTCGCAGGAGGACGCGGGCGGCTCGGCCTCCAAACTGGCCCGGCGCCTGCTCCATCACGGGGAGACGTCGGACCAGAGCCTCCTCCAGCTGACCAGGAGGTTCCAGGAGGAGACCACCATCACACCCAAACCCAGCGGGGAGCGAGGGCACGCGGGGGGCTTGTACGCCTTCGACAGGAGCGCGCGTAAAGGCGAGCAGGAGGCGCGCAGGACTTACGGCTTGGTGTCCTTCCACGCACCCGGCAGGCTGAGGCACCCCGCGGAGGAGCGAGCGGCGCCCTCCCAGTCCGAGTCCTGGACCCCCTGCTTCCACAGCTGGGACTCTGTGACCGTGACTGACGTCACCATGAACTTCCTGACCGTCACCATCAGGGAGAGCAGCACGGACGAAGGCTTCTTCAGAGAGAAGAGATGAGCAGCGAGATGTGGAACAAAACTGTCAGATTCTATTTTTGTCTAAGTTCCTTTAAAACATGTACATATAAATATTTAATAGCTACTGCAGAAAATAAACCAAAACTCATTATTGTGTTGGGTCCATATTTATTTTTTTTCACTTTGCGCTCAACAATTAAAAAGTGAGAACAAATATAATTTATCCAAATAAACAAAAAATAAAAGAGACAGGTTTGTTGAGGTGAGTATTGATGTTGTTTGTCCATAAATAGATTTTTTTATTTAAAAATATATTCTTTTATTTTGAAACCAGAAATGATCAGAATGGAGCAAAATTCGATTTTTAAAWTAAAARCRGAGGAAGCATTTCATTTAAAAGATTTTAAAACAGTTTGACATTTAAGTCAAACAAATGTCAATATTTAAACAACTTATTTGTTTTACATTCAGTCATTATTACAGATGTTTATGTCAAATTTAAACGTGGCTCTTTATTCATTCAAAGGTTTTTATTTTGACAATAACTCAAGAGCTGAAACGTGACAAAAGTATGTTTTTTCTGTGACATAAAGGCCTGATTTGGAGCTACAGAAATTCTAAGATTGCTTTTCTTTTGGATCATTTTAACAGCTCCAGTGTTGGTGAATATGTTAACATCATTCATCAAAGCTTACATTAAATGGTTTGGTTAAAGCTCAGAGGGCTCCTTTCGGGTTTAATAGTTTTAATTTGTCTTTAAATGACTCGTTTGCTTTCAGGTCTTTGCAGAGAGCGAGGGAAGGGGTGGAGTGGAGTGGGGGTCTGGAGAGGAGGGTCCTTTAAAGCCGCATCACCTTGTTCCGTTTACTGAGCGATGAGAGGCCGCTTCACTCAGACACAAAGCTTCCATTCATTTACTTTGTGTCTGCGTGACACATGACCCGAACTCAGGTCCTCCTGCAGAACCCGGCCAGAACCACCRCATCCTCAGCTCAGCTCCCAGATACTCAACTTAGAAACACGCAAATAATCCACTTCTTCAGGATTGTTATAGAAACGTTTTCTTTTTATCAGTATGGGGTCAGATTTGTGCGCTTTTTTATTATAATCTGCAGCTTCAGAAAGTGTTTTATATCAACAAATTAAATGTGGGGGGAAAAAAGGTCAAATAATCGTGTCCTTGCAAAGCGTCACGGTCCACAGAGTTCCCCTCCACCAGATGTCGCCACCATCCTGAACGGCTGCCAGGTGCGTTTTACCTGCAGGTGAGCCGGGAGTGCTCGGCCCATTTTTTTCTTTCTTTTTTTTTCTTTCTTTTTCTTCTTGTAATCGTTGATGAAAGTTGGGAACTCGTGCCAAGCGGCTCTGAAAAATTACAGGTCGTTGAGTTGCAGCTGCTCCTCCTCCTCAGGCCTCCAGGCAGYCAGGAGTGGGGGGACAGGACTCATCCAGACGTGAGGGGAGAAGCTGCGGTGCATCGACCTGCCGCTAGATGGCACCAAATACGTCTCTTCTCACCGGAGGAGGAGCTCAGTGTTAAAAAGCTCTGCGTTAAAAGCGGCGGGCGATATGTAAACAGTTTGTGTTCGGAGAGAGAGAGAGAGAGAGAGAGAGAGAGAGAGAGAGAGA